GATGTGCAGAATACAGATGGGCACAAATGGGGGGCTGGGGGGGCAAGCCGGACCTGCCCCCCCAGCCCCATATGTGATGCTGGATGGACTTGCTTAGGGGTCCTCTCTCCTGGAAGGGGTGTCCCCTCTGAGTCTGATCAAGGGAGGCGGGTTCAAGGACCCCCAAGCCGCTCACCCTCCACTGAAGTGGGGAAGCCTCTGACCATTCAGCTCCACTGTCGAAGAAGAGTCCTGTGGCGCCAGGAAGCTTGCCCGCTTTATGGCCCACCACTTCTGAAGCCACCGAGAGAGACCCTTGTAGGCCTATGAGAAAAGAGAGGGGGGGAAATCACCTTTCTGAGTCTGTGGAAACACGGGAAAGGGGAGGGGGGAAGCCACGGCTCGTGGCCAAGGATGGCATTCAGTGGCCCAGTGGGACGGACGTTGGGCCATCCGCCCGGTGGGAGCTTCGCATCTGCGTTTCTCCAGGACTTTCCATATTTTCTCTTTGTGCCCCGAATTCCACCCCGGTGGTTGCGCGCCTGGTGTCGTGGTTGTGCGTTGTGTTGTGGTTGTGCGTTGTGTCGTGGTTGTGCGTTGTGTCGTGGGCTGCCGGGTGGCCACCCTCTGTGGGTTGAGCAAAGCCAGCCTCTGGACAAGCCGGCTGGAGAGAGAGAGAGGAGTGTGGGTGGGATGGGGCCCAAAGGGATCCCCCCCTTCCTTTTCTCCCTTTTAATGCAACACTATGAATACAAGGGGGGGCTTTCCTTTGGCCGCTGTTTAATGGATTTGAATGTGAAAAGGTAGTGGGATTTGGGGGGGGAGGCAAAGGGGGGCTTCCCTCTTTGTTTGGCCCTATGACTGCTGGCATGGGTTTCTTTAGCATGTGGAGGGCAGAGGGCCCCCCCTTTCTTTTTCTCCCTCCCCCCTCCTGCCTGTCCCCCCCTCTTTTTTTGGCCTGGCATTCATTAGCATACCAGCTGCTTCTTGTGATGGGGGACTGAGGGGGGGTGTTGAAGAGGTGGGGGGGGCGCCCCACAGAGACGTCCTGGGAATGAATAGCCAGGAGGAAGAGAGAATAGCCTTTCCTCCCCCCCCCCTTTTCGGGGATGTGGGGGGGGCAAAGGCTGTGAATGGGAAGGAGAAGGAGAGGCTGGAAAGATGTCAAGGCGGGTTTGGAATGAAAGAAGA